CCCCAAAACCCCAAAACCCCAAGTGATTGATATTTATAAAAAATCATGAAATTAAGTTTAAATTATATTTTATCAGTAATGATATTTAATAATTCATTTTATATAGTAATTCTAAAGGCTCATAAATTGTTTTTTTAATCTAATAATGAATCAAATTTTTACTAATGAGGAACTTTCATTTTAATTTAGGCTTTTATTCTCTCATTTAGAGCAAAAGATTCTTATATTTCCAAAATGTCATTATTATCTGCTGTGTTTTAATAATGATAATCCTCTATTTGGATATAATCTTCTAATAAATTGTCTTGATTTTTTAAATCTTCAATACTTCCAGCAGATTCATTGAATTACTACTTTTGACTGTTTTATTTCTAAGTAGTAGAGGAATTATTCGATGTTGAATCCTTTTAAATCTATTGAGATTGTGTTTACTTATTCTAAAAAGGTTGTTAGCCGAGATCATTGGCAATAATTATTACTTATCCTTCGTTAAGTTCATCTTAAAAATACTTTACCTTTTCTTTTTGAACTTATTTTTCATGATTAAGAAAGAAAGTTTAGCTCATTGGTATCTTAATTTTATCTTTGTTTTCATCCAGTATCCTACCATTCTTGTTTTCAATTTTATTAATTTCGAATGATGAGTTGTCTTCTAATGTAATTTTTATCATTGTCTATTGCTAATCTTTTATTGTTGGTTCTCGTTTTATTTTTTATTTTTTAATACTTGGACTAAACTCATTTAATTGACTCTTCAGTCGTTAAAGAGCTTTATTATGGTTTTAGTTTTACTTCATCGGAGAATTATTTTGTTTTCTTTTTTTCCTTTTAATGTAAATACTATTTTAATTCATATTCTACTAAATATTCTATTATAATTAAGATAGCTCTATCTCATGTAAATCCTCATTTTCAGTTGCTGTATATCCTTATTTTTATTAGATTTTTAAGTCCTATTTACATTAGTTGAAGTCCTGAATTCTAGTATAATCTGTAAAGTCAAGCTACTCTTATTAAGTTGATAGATCTTTAACTACTGATGAGGATAACTCTGATTAACTTTGTTTAATTTATATCTTCATTCTCTCAATAGAAGGGGAATCTGATTCAATCAGTATGCTATCAATATTTAATTTCCTATATTGATTATTTTTTAACTACTATTAGATTTTATTATTCTTTTGATTTGTAGATTTTTTTTGAGAAGAAATAAAAGTGGTTTTCTTTTTAGTATTAAAATCTTTTTGAAAAGAAGGCATTAGTAATTTATTGTTGACTTTAATATTACTATTAATTTATGAAGAGATGATTGATCTCTCTTTTAACTATTGATTTTAAGAATCTCCAAAATTGATATCTTGAATAGAATCATCTGTGTATAAAGTTTAATTCTTGCTTTCATCGTGTTTATTTAATTGTTAAAAACTTGGCTCTTTATTACTTTATGTAGTCTCAAATGAGTGTACTTTGATTAAATTTAGAGAATAATTTTTATTGACTTGATATTATCTAATATGTTATGACTGCTTCTTCTCATTATCATCAAGTTATTTAGAATTTATTATCTTTTAGATTACATCTTGTCCAAAATGTATCATTATTCTCTCAATGTTATTCTAGTTAAGTTTTAAAGTATTTTGCTTGAATAATTTCTTTAGATGTTTTAATTAAATATTGACTTGTTAGAAACATTAATTTTTTTCTTGCTCCAATTTATATTCAATGAACTAAGTTTTTAATTTCTGCTAATTTTGGCACAAGCAAAGTGCTAAATAAATCTTTGTAAATTTCTCTCTAAATTTAGCTCTAATTTCATTATACATATTAAAGCCCCAATGGATAATGAAAAATAGATTGGACAAAAGAATAATGGCGAAAAATAATTATTAAAAGCTATTTGATAATGCTATTGATCCTCTTGCTAAATCAGGATTGTCATGAATCCATTCCTATGGTTTATTCAAAATAAAGAAAAGGCCACAATATATGGTTATCATTGAAGTGATTAAAGAAAGAGTTTCTAAATCATTAAGCACTATGGAATTAAACGGCTATTTTTTAAAGTTTATCATTAGAAAAACGATTAAAATCATAAATACAAGAAGTGCTTAGGATGTTACTCCAAAATTACTTATAAAAACAGCAGTAAATACAATCATGATTTTTCTATACATAATAACTATTTCCCAGAAATAATAATCTTTTCGATAACCTCTGAATAAAAACCCAAATCTTTATCTTAAATCAAAAGTTTCAAGCTTCTTTCTTTTATTTATAAGAATAATTAAGGCAAAAAATGGGATGCCTAGCCCCCAAACAATGATACTTGGCAAAGCTACAAAATAGCTATATTTGTTATGAACACTAGACCAACAAACAATTTCTAAGTCATCCAATACTCTAAATTCTCCATCAATTTCCTTGCAATTAAAATTATAGAATGAATTGGTGACCAAACTAGGATGCGCGAGAAATAGCAAGATAACAAGACTTGACATAATTTTCCCTCTAATTTCGACTAAATTATTCTTGATTTTCTTATAAATTATCCACACAAGGACACAGAGTATTGTTAAAAGAAAAGGAAGCAATGAAATGATAATCTACTTCAGGAAAAATATTCTTTATACATTAAATAATATCCTTTGCCTCGATTAACTAGAATCTTCAAAATCTGTTCTTCTATTATCTAAAAAGCAGTCAATGCTAAAGATTTAAGTGGATACAGTAGCAATTTAATTTGATCTGCTGAAATAATCTATTATTTGCTAAGACCATCTAAAATCAAATGTTGCAGTTACAAATATAAGTTAGAAATGATTTAGAATAATTTTGAGATAGATACTTGTCACATTATTGGTATCCATTGCTCCATTAAGAGTAGATCTAATCATTAATACAATTAAAAGAGTAACTGCAGCTAATATTGTTAATAGTCTAAACGTATTTAGAAGTTTATCTGGGCATTTTGAGCATTGATATGCGTTTGATCTTGAAAATCCATATTCACAGTCAGCACAAAGTATTCCTTAATAGCCTTTTAAACATTCTCCAACTAGACTATTTTTAGGAGGTATCATTCCCAAGCAAGCAAATTCATAGAGACATTAAGTAAATATTTTTGTTTCATTATTTTTTCTCCAATACCCTGGAAGTGGGCCAATAATTGCACCACTTATACACTTTGCTTTATCCTGTGGACACACCTCACAATTACCTGGCTCAGTCATTTAAACTAATGAAAAACTGCCTTCACATTGTTAGCATTTTCCAGCAATGGTAAATTACTCGCCTATTAAGCATTCTCTTAAATTAATCTACAGATCTAAATCTAAGTTTGAATTGCCTCCTAATTACATTACTTCTTTATTTGATTTTTTGCTTAAGTCTATTCCATCTGAAGAAAATAGAAGCTAATAAGATATTCCTGGAGTTCCAACAATTACAATGTCAGAGATTACAGCTATTCCGCCAATAATATCAAAAGAATTTGAACCCTCTAAAATGGGAGGATATTTTGTTTGATTTTCATTTAGATTTGAAATGTCAATATTAACTCTAACTTTGCTTTTGAAATCAGAGCCTACAATTTATCCATATTTGTCCATCATTGCCATGTAAATTTCAGGAATAGAACCTCCACTTCTTTGATTTAATAGATTCTAAAGTTCTCTATGATTAAATAAGTTTTAATCCAATGATAGTATTCTTAAATCAAAATCATCTTAAGTTTTGAGGCCAATTTATATCATTTTATTAAGATATTGAGTTTAGGTTACAGCTCTAAGATTTTATGAATAACAGGCTAAGTTATCTCCATAATAGTGAGCCTTGTTGTTAATGAAGGATATTTGGCTCTGATTAGTTATCGGTTCTAATTAATCCCAAAAAATAGCCCCACCTTATAAATCAGCTTTATTACTTTCAAATATCAGTGAGCCAATAAATTTCATAATACAATTGAGTGACTGTGAATTACAAGTGTAATAAATAGCTCCTCCTGATCCTTGATTAGTTATCTAAAATATATTTTCTTCAAAAATTAAGGCTTGATTTCCCGAAAAAGTTGAATCAATTATATTAAATGACTAAGGATTATCGGCGTATAAAGCTCCTCCTTTTTAAGAGGAACAGTTATGAAATTAAGAATTAATTATTTAAAACTTTTCATTTTTATCAAAATAGGTTGAGCCTTTATTTAATTCTTATTCTATCATGTATATGGCCCCTCCTTAGGAACTCCTAAGATTTTAAAAGATAGAATCTCGTATTAAAAAACCACTACAGAAATAACAATAGATTCCAGCACCTGCTTTTGATTTCTAATTTTAATTAATGTCTCTAATTGTTATGCTTGATGCATTCAAAAATGATTACTCGATGTAAATAGAATTTTTAGATTTAAGACTCGTGAATAGAACTCTGTTAAAACTTATCGTATTATATGAATTAGTGATATAAATATCTTCTCCATTATCAACAGCAGTATTATCAATAAATGTAGATTATTCTCCGATGTAAATAGACTTAAAACCTGATGAATATATGACTCCACCTTTAGCTGTAGCTTGGTTATTTATGAATCTAGAATTTTTGATATTAACAACAGAATCTCCAGAAATATATAGAACACCTCCATAATTTGATGATCCTCCCACGAATTAGCAATTATCGATCAATATATTAACATCAAAAATCAGGAAGATAAATGAGCCTGTTGTCTCATCCATTTTATAAGATTATTGATAATCTACTATTTTTTTACTCTAAAAAATATTGTTTGTCATAGTTATATTCACAAATCCAAGTAATATATTTTTCGTCTTTTATAGGGCGTAATTATCTTAAAATTTGTTATCACTTAATCTTACATTCGAATACAAGATGGACATTGTGTTTTTCTAAGCTTAATTTTCTTTGAATTCACTTTTGCTTATTACTACATCCTAATTTAGATTAGTACTTTAGATCTCTAATACTGAATTTTCGTAAGCCAAATTTTATAAGAATAAAGAGGCATAGATATTGAGGCTACATTGTGTTGCTAAGTATAACACTCCAGCTTGAATAGTAGCATTATTTGCTTAAAATGTGCAAAAGCGAAAAGTTAAGTTTGAATAAGAAATTGCATTGATAACTGCACCTGTTTTTCCTAAGTTATTGTAGAATTCTGATGAGATTAATTTTATGCTTGATTCTTAGGCACTAATGACACCTCCATATTGACCAGAATTATATTTGTAAACTGATTTTTCATCTGACAAAGCAGTTTTTTAAATAGAAAAAACTCCTGCTCTATTTTAATTACCACAAAATTCAATTATATTATTGCTAAGTACTATGCTTTTTGTATTTTAAAGAACAAAATATGCTACACTCTCAGTGTATATACCAAAATTTTATGTGTATTATTTTAGTACCAATTTTTAATCGTATTATTAATCACAGATAATTTTAGTATTTCTAATTATGAGATTAAGAAAGTTTGATGTCGATATGATAAAAGCTGCGTTATTAGAAAAAATGTCTAATATTCTCGAATTTTCTATCTAAATTTAATACGCGTTGAGGACACTGAAAAGCCCTCCTGAAATTGCTGAGCTAATGTTTTAAATCATTACATTTTAAATAAGCAAAGAAGTTGTTGGATGAAAAAGATAAAAGAGACCTCCCTCTTAAGCATAAAAATTGGATATTAACTGAGTATTTTTCAATATAATGAAACTCTGTGTCAAGTTTCCCGATTCAGATTAAAACTACTATTCAATTAGCAAACCACCTTTACTCTCAGCAGAGATATTCTACCCTTGAATACCATCTAACACTACGTTACAATGTCCAACCAATGAAATTAATCCCCCGCTAATTGCTTTAATATTCATCAAAATAGTGTCCTTCATCTTTATTAAACAACCATGACATGAAACTACAGAGCCATATGCTCCATCAATATTTTCAAATGTTGATCCTTAATCTTCGTATGCATTTGATGAAATCGTAATCATTGCTCCACTCTATTATTTTTTACAATTCTTAAACAATGAGTTCTTTGTATAAAGCTGAGTTTTTTCATTAATTCTGATTATTCCCTCACTGCTTTAATTATACTGATAAAATATCCAATCAGCTTTATCTTAGTTTTGGCAGTCAATAACAGTGTCTTGTATATAAACTTTTGAAAATGTTTCATAGTCACTTGAGCTGAATTTCATGAACTACTGTTCACTCATAGAATAAAAATTAGAGAATTCATTTTTCTGGTATAAGATTGATGAAATAATGTGAAGCTCTCCTTAGAATGGAGTAAAACAAAATACTGCACACTATTCTCCATTTTAAATATTTCTTACTGTTACTGATTCAATTATTATCTCATTAAGATAAATATCATTATGAGCAATAAAACCTCCGTATGATTTCTCCTTCATTTAAACTGTATCAATTGTCGTATTTCTTATATGTACACGTATTACTCCTTAATCACTTTATTAAACATCATATGCTATTAAACTTATAATGACTCCTTAGCTTTTATAAGATGTAATATTGAAGAATGTACAATTGTGAATTAATAAAATTTATGCTGCTTAGGAATATACAATTCCATAAAAGTTAGTTGCAAGATGTTAATAGGTATTATTAACAAGGAAGTTTCAAGTTGAATTATAAATATTATATATTCCACCATACATTCCTTCATTAAATTCATAAAATGAGTTTGTATCTATGAATAAAACGTTTTCTTTATGCTAGCAAATTAGACCTTATTTTTTGACAGCCAAAATATTTTGATCATATCCAGCATATTTTGTTTTATCAAAACGACAATTTTTCATATGGAAGCTATTTAACATAAACTGTTTCGTGTTATAAATTTGAATTGGTGCAAAATATGTTGAATCAAACCAATCATATTGATCACCATCTAATTCTATTCTTCCAGCTCCATTATCACCTAGTACTAATTTGTCTATACTGCATTCTATCTTAGTAGAGTTTATAAAAACATAATCCTCAACGTTTTTTATTTTAAGAAAACTTGATTCTTATTCGAGCTATGCTATCAAATTTTTTGAAAAAGTGTGAAGATTTTTTGCGATTGTGTCTTAGATTATTAAGCTTTTAGCATAATACATGTATATATAATTATATTATCCTCCTGTAATTTCATCCATATAACAGGATTTGATTTCTACATTAGCTAATTTTGCTCTTACATATAGAGCAACAGCGTTTTGTGCATCTAATTCTTGAAATATAATCTGATCTAACTCAAGTACAAGGAAAATAAATGGGACTTCACTCTAAACTTAATCTGGTTAATTAGAATTGTCTGTACCTAGTATCCTCACATTTTCAATATTTTAATTAGTTGTTAATCCAGCATCTTCCGCCTCTCCTGTGTAATATATTCCGGCAGTGTATTGGCTACAACTACTTTAATATATAGTGCTATTTCTGATTGTAGTATTTCCTTGAGGTAAATTAATGTTAATTCCACCTCCGTTTTAGTAAGCATTTGCATTCTTGATATAGACATTATTAAGAGTTATACTATTTGTTTATAATAAATACATAGCTCCTCCATTATAAGCAGTGTTATTATAAAAATTACATCCATTGCATTCAAAGTTTCCGCCATTTATGTGCAATGCTCCTCCTTGCTAAGATAAAATGTTACTCTGAAAAGTGCAGTTAGTAAACATAGATTTTTAAGCTTAATACAACATTATTCCAGAAGAATAATATTGTTGCTCTATTTCAATTGGGAGTTGTTCCAAATACATCTATTGAACAAATGTAGAATTAAAAACTTCAATAATTTCAGCTGTTTCTGAGTATATAAAGTGTCCTTTTTAGAATGAAAATGAATCTTTGAGTTGTAAGCCATTAGCAATTAATGAAGCAGTACTGATTAAGTTCATGAATCCTCCATTTCCTTTTAAAGACATAGATTCTGATACTACTATGTTTTAAAAGTTTAAAGCGAGTTTGGGCGATTCAATGTAGAATGCACCTCCATCATTTAAACTAATACTGCTAGTTATTTCTAAGTTCTCTATTTTTAAATATCCTTCTACTAATCCCAAACCATCCTTCGCAAATATAATGCCTCCTCTATCTAATGCAGTTGAGTGTTTTATAGTACCATTAATCAATTCTAAGGAGGAACCTTCACCGATATAAAATATTCCTCCTCTATAAGCAAGTGTGTTTTGCATAGTAAAATTATTAAATTTAGCCGAACTGTTTACCAAATAAATCACTGAACCTTGAATAGAACTAATATCATCATAATGATTTGAGCCTTATTCTTCAAATATTCCATTCATTATGTAAAATAAACCTCCATTTTAGGTAGATTTACCATACTTATAAGTGCTGTTGATTGTAACTATTATTCCTCCATCTACTCTAAATGGACTTACAAAAGAAGAAGCAGATCCAAAATCCATATTAACATTCTCATAGATTAATTGAGCATTGAAATACATTTAATTAAGTGGTTATGAGGTTAGGATTAATAAAATATTCTTGAGTATTATATAGCTATTTCCTTTTGAGTAAAGAATGGTTTTTCCTACATTACGTAAATAACTATCTTAAATAGTTACATTTGTTGCTTTATCACTATACACAAATGATCCCCAATTATTAACAAGAATCTCTAAGAATTCTGAATTTGATATAGTTATATTATGAGAAATGGGATCAGCCTAGTCACTTGTATTGATATAGATCATACCTCCAGATCCTTCAAAAGATCCACTATTAAAAGAAAATATATCATCAATTGCAATTTAAATCTACTAAGATTTAAGATAAAAGACTCCTCCAGAGTTTACAGATAAAACTGAAGAAATTGAGACTTTGTTAAATAAGTTGATCTCTATTTTTTCAGAGGATTATATATAAAATAGTCCACCTTACGATGATTCAGCAAAAATATAATCTATGCTTGTCATTTAAATATTTACTATGGATTTATTAGAACTTAGATATCCAAAACCTCCATCAAATTAAGAATATATCTGATAAATATAGGAATCAGAAATATCTAGGTTTATACCATTAAACTTCTCTGCATGAATAAATCCTCCTTATCCTGCATATTAAATTTCTCCAATAATGCAATTTATAATAGTTAAATTTAATTGATTTCCTCCGTGTATACTAAATAGACCTTAAGCGGAGGCTAAGGGAATAAAAAAGAACTAAGAAATTTAATTATTTCTCAAAATTATGCTGAAATCGGTTGAAGTTTCCAAAGAATAAATATAGAATAGGCGTAGGTTCATAAAGTTTTAAGGATAAAGTCCTGAAATATAACTGTCAGAAATGTGTAGTATAAGATTTTAATTATCTCCTTAATTTCCCCTCATCTTAATAATATCTACAAATTCTGTTGAAATACCAGAATCATTAACGTAAAATTTATTCTCGCTAATACTAGAACTTTCAATATATAACTGACTGTATTCAAAAAATATAAACGGATAATCATAAGTTTGAAGGGACATTGCCTCTACTATAAGTTTAAGATGAATTTCTTCAAATTCTTAATTCTCATTTTATTCCTTAAAGAATCCTATTAAACTCGTTTAGTTTTTAAAATCTAAGTGCTACATATATTCCACTACATCCCAATTTTAAAAGATATATTCAAAAGCAGTATTTGAGTTTTAATGTGTAAATATCTATAAAAATCTTAAATTAGTTCCCTCATTTAGTGGTTAATCGGTTAAATTTTCAAAACTTATGTAAATTCCAAAGGCATCACTAAATGCTCCTAAAATCGGATATTCAATTTTCAAATCTGTTATTTTGACACTTTGAGTAACATCTCTTAATAATATGCCTAATGCTCTTTGATTAGAATATTTGGTATCAATGAAGGAATTTTAATTTACATTTATAGTGCTAATATGTACCTTTTTAGATCTTTCAATAGATATAAGCGAAGATGCTAATTATGATTGATTTAAAGATGAGTTCCAAAATAAGCTTTAAAATGAGTAAGAGGTAACATTAGCATTTAATGAAGTTGCAATATTTGAAAGCGATTCCTAGATTGCTTCAGTGTTCTTTGTAAAGAATATAAAGTTTATTAGTACTGATGGAAAGTTAATCACATTTAATATTCCTAAACCATCTGCTGCAGTGTTTGAGTCGAATGTGTTTTCTACAATAGATAAACTATAATCTTCATGCAAGTTATCATTTAACGTGTGATCTTCCTATTAATTTATCGTCTATTCTGGAAGGAAAATCCTTCCATTTGGTTCATTATCCTCTTATTAGTAGTTAACGCACTCAAGATACACTGATCCACCGGAAACGGCAAAAAGCCCAACATTATTATTATAATAGTTCTAATTAATTTAATATCCAGTACAATATGAGTCGTCTTAATTACTATTGCTGTAAACATCAACTTATTAAGTCCCTCGAGCTCGAATAAAGATAGCGTTGCTCATTATGAAACCAAAGTTATTTATGAAAAAATTTCCTACAATTTATAGTTTATTGACAGACTCTCTGTTGTAATTCATATCAAAATACAGCATTCCTTTTGTAGCTGCATTCAATTAAAAATTATTGTTAATCAGGTTGACTTAATAATCTCCATGATTGACAATTGATATAGTAGATTTAATTTAAATAGAAGATTTATCTCCATAGTTTGAATAGCTGTCTTTAATTAATGGTACATTATTATGCAAGCTAATTCCATAGTCATTGCTTGGATGAACCGCCATTATAGTATTAAACAATGAATTTTCTAATTTAATATGACCCTAGAAATTTTCAAGGTCAAGAACAAGCCCAAAATGCTTCATTTTCAGTTTTTCATTCACCCAGAGAGGAACTTTTGAGAAATTTGACAATTTATTATAGTTATTTACTATAGTACCTGATATCATAATCCCAAAGCATCTTTATTCAAGTTATGAATTAGAATCCCCGCAAAATGTAGAAAATATATTTTCTTCAGGCAGTTGGCTCTGTTCAAATTAAATTGAGTGCAATAAATCTAAGCTTAAAAATCCATTTTTCTGCAATAAATTTTCGTAGATCTAATCGAATCGCTTATTTCTGATGATTGCCCCACATGAACTTATGTTATTAATTAAAACTGAGTTCATCTCGATGAAGCCTCCAAAGTCATTAAGCTCAATCAATGTATTAAAATCATAGATAAAATTATTGAATTCAACATTCTAAAAATAATTGAACATTAGAGTTAAATGCTTACGTTTAATTAAAGGGTCTATGGACTTTGAAGCAGAGTTTAGCTTGATATGTCAAATTAAATAAAAGAAGTTCCTATTGGTAGCTGGCATTCATCATTTCTAAGAAATATTAATGTGAAACTTAATATCTTACGGAGGGTATTTGAATTAGCAAAAGCTCTTTCCATCGATAGTTGCTATATTTGTGGCAGAGTTATAAACTACTTTGCAGCAGTTTTAGAAAGGATCATTTAAACATATGTACTCTTCATCATTTATCAGGCTAAGATTTAAACCTTATCTTTAATCCAATATTGAATCAATAGCATCAAAGGCAATGTTGTTTATTACTAAGCCAGCTCCTACCATAAATTTAAACTGATCTCTCAATTTATAGTTCACTGTTACCAAAGTAGCATCGGTAGTGTCAATGATAATCTTTGTTGATTATGAGTTTTAATCATAAGCTTAGTATAAGAAATGATTTTCATCATATCTGAGCATTGAATGAACCTTTCCAGAGATAAGTAAAATAGTAATCTTTGCACTTTTGAATGGTGCTCCATACTCATAGGCTTTTGAAATAGCATGTTATAAGGAAAATAATGGATCTTCAATAGTCAATCCTGTATTTTCTTAAATAGATTAAGCATCTCAATTGCTATCAACATAAATGATCAGCTCTTATGATCCTGATTTCTCTAAGCACTATCCAAATGAATTCATTGTTAATCCTTTGTACAAGTAAAAACCTCTCTTGCATGAAAGGCATTCGTACTCAGAGGCACCCGCACATTCAAAGCAACTATCATCACAAGTCTAACATGTTGATGTCTCTATATATCCTCTTTAATTAAATGATATCGACCCATATCTCCCGATTCCACAGTTTGCGGTACATTTGCCAGTCAATTGATCAACATATCCATCTTCACATGCTGTTATTTATTCTTGTATAGGAAGATTTGTATTTACATCAAATGTAAAATTGCACCTTATTGGCAGTGCTAATTTACTGTGCTCTTCTGGGTTATATTAACATTCTGAAAATATCAAGATCTTTAAATTTTACTTTGACATATTCGATTTCCAATTGTATCGGTATATTGGCCATAACTATATTTGCAAGTCAAACAATCTTCATAACTCTCAGCATGAATACAAATTTCCCCCTAGCTCTCTATATTATGATTAATTGTATTTCACTTACAAGAGGAACAAATATCTTAAAACCTTGAAGTAGTCTCATTGTAAAAGCCATTTTTATTAATATAATATCCATCTTTACATTTAATGCAATTATATTAATCTTAGTAGTCAAATATCAGACAGAATTGATCTGAGCTATAATCCGATACTAGCTAGGGGTCTAGAAGAATGAAATAATATAGGATAATTACTGCAAGGATTTTATGTGTCTCCGGTTAGCATTGATTTTTAATTTACTGGATAAGTACAATCTGAACATTAACTAATATTACTCATTAAACAGCTCTCGCATTAGAAACCTGCTTGACATTCTAAAATTTTTATTGTCTTATAATGATTTGATATCATGATCTTACTTTGGCATATTTAAAAATTTGAATTTGAAGAATCTTGATAATCATTTAATGCCGATACTACCCACCCTGAATTAGAAATCTCACCTGGGCATATCTCGCATCCTGTGATAACATTGCAAGACTGACAGCCAAGTCCACACCCTAATAATATTTCATTAACAACAACTTTCATTATTTATAACTCACAAATGCATTTTGCTTTGATCGTATCTTTTATCATTGATGAGTGGGTGCTTTTGCAATCAAAAGTGCATAATGTTTCTTAATTTACACTGTTTCTACTACTTATTAGAAACATTCCAGCAATGCAACTAAGACATTGGATCGAGGTGATTTCATTATAAGTTTGTATCTAGCATTCATGACATCCAATGATTGAATTTTAGCATTCTAAAAATATAAGAATTATATACAAATGCAAATTACTTAAACATTAATCTTATTATCAATCGAAGTATTCATCACTCTCGCCTAAATAGTAAGTATTCCTTTAAATCTTACATTATGATATTTCGCATTAAACAAAAGTAGCTAGTACTGCAGCCAGTATTACTAAACTGAGCAAGGTTTTTTATAAATTTCGCATAATATATTATTTGAAAACTACTTTCATTTAAATTTTAACATCTTAATGGAGATCTATTAAATATTAAATCTGTATTATGATATATTCTCTTATATATTTAATGTTAAATTTTAGAGGCATGGGGTTTTGGGGTTTTGGGGTTTTGGGGTTTTGGGG